GTTACATTCCTATACCTCCCATACCCGAAGCTCTCTGGGCAGTTTACAACAAAGTATAAAAACAATAAAATACATTAGATAAAAATATTAAGAATTAAAATTAATTTAAAACAACATAGAAGAACATTAACAGACCATGAAAGATAATAAAAATGCAGCCAAGAGTGAAAGAAAGGCACCTGGCTAACCGTGTCAGGCCCTGAATGAGCAGGGAGGTCTTTAAAGGTCTCTGCAAAGAGGGCTGTTTTTACCTGGTGCCAAAAAGATGACAAATTTGGCACCAAGCAGGCCACAGCAGGGAGGTTGTTCCAAAGTTAAGAGCATATTGTTTAACCAACTCTATGTTGATAATAGTGGTGATGAAATCATACATTCTCATCGCCATTGCATCCTTGAGGCATTGTCCCACCCTGCTGTGTAAGTGGTTCTAGGCTTTCTCCAGCTTGACCCACAAGAAACTACCGGCATTCTTAACAAGTTGTAAAACATTAAATAGACATTTGGAGAATAAAATTACTTGCATCTGTTCTCATTTAGATGCTACATTCTATAGGTTGGTCAGTGGATATGTTCATTTGTGAGTACAATTGTTAATATGAGGCACTGACATTTAAAACTGTGCATGGCTTTGGCCTCAGATTCCTGAAGGAATGCTTGATTGCATGTGTGTATATTTTGATAATCAGAGGAACTTCTCTACATGCCTCAACCATCAGAAATGAATTGACATGACCAGAGAGAGCCTTCTCAGTTGTCGATTTCTTTTAGAAGAAGCCCTCTTGACACTAAATTTGTTACCAGTGCTCCTGGCTTTGAAATGCATTCATTGTATTTGTTGCTATGGTGTATTTCTTGAATTTGGGGGATGCTTACATTGCTTTTGTGTAAGCATTGATGAGTGTAGTATAGAAACTGTTAAAAATCTGTATTTGTGGGCCTGTGCTCACTTATCTGGGGCAAACTATTGAACAGTCTTACAGAAGCCAAGCACATTTATCTTATATAAATTTTACCTTAGATTTTAGGAAAACTTCTGCAACCTTGGAAGTACCATTTAAATGCAAACTGTGTAGAAACAATATGAACACATCTGATTTCATTACCCATAAATGTACATTGGAGCCTGTGTTGAAAAAGTCCATAAATAGTTACAGAAGTAGTATGAGTTAATGGAAAATCTAGACACAGTGAGTCCATTATGCCCAAAGAATTGGGAGAGAACCATTTTTGAATAATTGCATTCTCGGTTGATTTGTTTTTATAAGTCTTCTCCATGTCATTCTTTCTAAGTAATTTCCCCCCCCAGGAACAGACAGCATTTAATTTCCAATGTGGATAGCTTTTAACTGGTTCTTTCATTGTGAAGGCATTTTATGTAATATATTAATTGTATAAGGTCCATTGTAATGTGCAGTACTAATTGGATTACCCTGAATGTACAGTGTTTCTTTAGAAAGTTCCGATTTGCCTGTAATCTGATCTTATGTTTGTAGGGAGATGAAGGCTATGCCATGACAGCAGAATGCTTGAGATAGAATGGTAGCAAGCATGTCCTTAAAATAATACTGTGTGTGTTGAAGAAATCTCATATTTCATAGAAAGAGTCCACTCCATACCACAGATGGCCAAACTGTGCTTCACCATGAGTTGTGTGTGGCACTTGAACAGGTCTGAGTGTCATCAGAAGTTTATCCAGATGAGAGAAGAAGTACAAATGAGGGAAGAATAGAAACTCATGTAAATAAGGTTTATTTATTTATTTAAAACTTTTATATCCCGTCACACATGCCTCTGCATCTTGGGACGAAGGTTGACCTTCTTCCCAACTTCCAAACCCCTTCCCAGTGTCCCAGCCAGCTGTTGGGGCGAATATTTATTTATTTATTTATTTAGCAGACTTATATGCCGCCCCATTCACCTAAGCCTCGGGGCGGCTTACAAATAAATAAATATCACTAGTACAATAAAATACAGTTGGAAACATCCTGGCCGAAGTTGTTAAAATCAATAAATAAAATCAACAATTAAAATGACATTTCGATAAAAAGGTCTTGGCCTGGCACCGAAAAGCAAATAACAATGCTCTCTGGGGAAGCAAATAACCTCTCTGGGGAGCGCATTCCGTAGGTTGGGTGCCACTGTAGAGAAAGCCCTCCTCCGGGTGCTCACCCTCCTAATGTCTTTCACAGAGGGCTCCCGGAGAAGGGCCTCTGCTGCCTGTCGCAAGGGGTGGGAGGGCAAGTATGGACGTAAGCGCTCCTTCAGGTAACCAGGACCCAAGCCATTAAGGGCTTTATAGGTGATAACCAACACCTTGAATTGGGCCCGGACTTCAATGGGGAGCCAGTGTAGCTGATGGAGGACTGGAGTTATGTGAGCACAACGCCCAGTCCCCGTCAGCAACCTGGCAGCTCTGTTTTGCACCAATTGAAGTATCCGGACTGTCTTCAAGGGCAGCCCCACATAGAGCGTGTTACAGAAGTCTAGTCAGGAAGTTACCAATGTGTGTGTCACAGTAGCCAGGCAGTCATTTTCCAGATAGGGATGCAGCTGATGAATCAGCCGAAGCTGAAAGAAAGTGCTCCTCGCCACTGCCGTTACTTGAGCTTCCAGCGACAGCTCTGGATCAAGGAGCACTCCCAAGCTGCAGACCTTGTCCTTAAGAGGGAGTGCAACCCCATTCAGGACAAGATCAAAGTCCCCTTCCCCGAAGCCTGAGCCGCCTACCAACAAGACCTCTGCCTTGTCTGGATTGAGCTTCAGTTTATTGGCCCTCATCCAGCCCATTACCTCAGCCAGGCACCGGTTCAGGACAGCCACTGCCTCACCTGGATTGGTTGAAAACGAGAGGTAGAGCTGGGTATCATCAGCGTACTGATGATTCCGCAGCCCACACCTCCTAATGACGTCTCCCAGCGATTTCATGTAGATGTTAAATAGCAAGGGGAACAAGATGGAACCCTGCGGAACTCCATGGTATATCTGTCATGGGTGCAGAGCCATAATCCCCCAGCACCACCTTCTGGAGTCGGCCATTGAGATAGGAGCGGAACCACTGCAAAGCAGTGCCTCCACCCCCAGTCCCACTAGCCTATCCAGAAGGATACCATGGTCGATGGTATTGAAAGACGCTGAGAGGTCAAGGAGGACCAACAGGGACGCACTCCCCCTGTCTCTCTCCCTGCACAGGTCATCATACAGGGCGACCAAGGCAGATTCAGTACCATACCCGGGTCTGAAGCCGGACTGAAATGGGTCCAGATAATCAGTTTCATCCAAGAGTGCTTGGAGTTGTCCCGCCACCACCCGCTCCAACACCTTGCCCAAGAACGGGATGTTGGCCACTGGTCTATAATTGGTGGCCGTCTCTGGATCCAGGGATGCCTTCTTTAGGACTGATCGGACTACCGCCTCCTTTAAAGGGGCAGATACCCTGCCATCCCTCAGAGAGGCATTGACAACCTCCGGGATCGAGGTCCCTATCCCATGCTTGGCGTTGTTAAGTAGTCAAGATGGACAAGGGTCCAATAGGCAGGTTGTGGGACATACTTGTAAGATGGCCAGCCATGTTAGCAGATGAAAGTAGAAGCAGTTGCTTGTGAGGCCAAGGTTCATGGAGCAGACTTGGCTAGGGGCAGGGTTAATGGCTTTAAGAGGCTCTTACTAAGTAGAGAAGTGAAGCTGGGTTTGATTCTTAGAAAGTCAGAGGGGTGCAGAGCCTCAGGCCCAGGGGCAAGATCTGTCTCTCTGGGGGTTCCAGTCTAACACTTCAGGATTCCCTAGAAGGACTTTTCCGGGCCTCAAGCCTTTCTTTTCATCTGCCAATCATTTGGTGACTTCCCAGCCTTTGTGCCACTTTTTCCTTTTCTAAAAGTTTGGAATGGCTCTCCTAAGGCAGTAAGAATGTTAAGTTAAAATACATTGGTATGTCTCGTATTTTGGACCCACCCTTTTTGTTTTGGCCATGTCTACCCCGAGAGGTTTTTTTGAAATGGAATTTGGTCTTCGGCCGAGTATATTCTGCATCCTTGGAATAGAAGAATGTAGTGACATGTAGGAGGCCATTTTTTAGTAGCTCTTGGGAATATTATTAAAAATGCTTTCAGTTTTGGCCATCCTAACCCTAACCTTAACCTTCAGAACGTGAACAATACTTGACATCTCATCTTAGCTTCAGTTGATGTTGTTATTATTGTAGCATGTATGTTGCAAGCCACTCTATCCATCAAGAAATACTTGTGAAACTCAGTGTCTTGCTATCCTGCCAAAAGAATCACTTGGAACAACTTGGATTTTCTGTAACATGTCAAAAATATCCTTTTGCACTTTCTTTATATCTCAACTGTGATTAGGTAGTAGCTGTAGGAAAAGTAACTGAAAATATTGTGTGGGCCTTTTGTTTCCATGCATAGGATTCAAAGAAGGAACACTGTTTTCCCCAGCATTTGCCAGTAATTAAATTCTGCAGATAATGGTATGTGTATCAGCTACACATGGTTCAAGGAGTTAGAACATCCTGATTGATCAGTGAGCTAATTCATACTAGATGGCTATTTGAGCTCTTAATTCTTAAAGCGGGAAGGGCTTTTGCACTTCAGAAGGGGTCACCTATCTTGGAATTGCTTGGGCAAGTCACTCATGGCACACACTCATGCAAGAAGGTTTTTTTTTTTTCTTCACAGAATGGCAAATTAACTTGTTATGATGGTGGTGGAATGCAAAAATGCTGTACTGATACTCACCCTGTTTCTGTAATAGTCAGTAGAAGTCTCCTCTTTATTTTATCTTACCTTACCTTTCTGATGTTTACTATCAGCGCACTTTGCCTTAGTGAAATCAAGAAAGGCCTTTATGAATCAAAAGTGACATATACTCCTACACATATTGTATAATTGGCCTAGGCTATGCTTAAACCAATTCATTTAATTTGATTTTATTACTGTTACATGCTTGCACCAGACCTGTTCTTTTTTTATTTAATTGTCTGCATTTAATTTCAGGGAGTTCTAATGGTTGGCCCTCCTGGGACTGGTAAAACCATGTTAGCAAAGGCTGTAGCCACAGAATGCGGAACAACCTTCTTTAATGTGTCTTCCTCCACTCTGACCTCAAAATACCGTGGTGAATCTGAAAAGTTAGTCCGCTTGTTGTTTGAAATGGTATGTATTGTTGATGTTCAATTCTTCCTGTCTTGTTATGCAGCAAGCATCTGAGCCCTTCTGGCACATTGTCCATGAACCAACTTACTCATTAGTCAACATTCTCCTAGTAAAAGCATAAATAGTTCTAGAGTTATTATTATCAGCTTTCTTGTGTCAGTTGCCGGGCTGCGGATTCCCAGCAACAACTGTCAGAAGTGATGCCATCAGGGCAGGACGTAGCAGCACACCTTCTGGACCCTGCTCTGCAGAATGAACAGGTGTGTCCCCAAGGACAGCAAGGCTGCCCTCCCACATTTTGAAACAAGTGGAGTGATGCACATCACCATCTAAAGAGTTCCCCTGGGCCATTACCTCCCCTTGGAAGGCTCCTTCCAAGAGCCTTCATGCTTCTGAGTAGTATAAAAATGAAATAAATGAAATAGAAACAGAGAAACAGAGCAAGTCAGAAGGGACCTCCTGGGCCATCTACTCTGACCTCCAGCTCCAGCCGGCTCCGCTCATGACATGCCCACCATGTGCATGTCCAGCCTATCTTTGAACACCCTCACTGATGGGGCCTCAACCACCTCCCGTGGAAGCCCGTTCCATACCCTCATGGTCCTAACTGTCAGGAAATGCTTCCTGGCATCTAAATGGAACCTTGGTTCCCTGAGCTTTGCTCCGTTGGAGCATGTCCTGCCTTCCTCTGCAGGGGAGAGCAGGTCTCTACCCACCTCCATGTGACATCCCCTCACATACCTATATGTCATCAACAGATCCCCTCTGAGTCTCCTCTTCACCAGGCTGAAGAAACCCAGTTCCCTCAGTCTCACCTCATATGGCATCCCCTGCAAACCGGCCACCAACCTTGTGGCCCTATGCTGCACTGATTCTAACCTGACTATATCCTTCCTGTAATGAGGGGCCCAAAACTGAACACAATACTCCAGTTGTGGGCGCACCAGAGTTATATAGAGTGGTAGTATACCTCTCTCAATCTAGAAGCCACACTTCTGGCTATGCAGCAAAGGGTGGCATTTGCCCTCTTAAACACCGCATCACACAGCTGACTCATGTTTAGCCTGTAGTCAACCAGCACCTGAAGGTCCCTTTCACAAGTGCTGCTCTCCAGCCACTTGTCCCCTAACCTGTACTTATGACACCTATTCCTATGCCCCAAGTGCAAGACCTTGCACTTATCCACATTGAGTGCCGTCCTTTTGTCTCCTGCCCACTTCCATAGTCTGTCCAGATCCTTTTGGATCTGGAGTACCTGCTGCTCAGTTGTGGCCACTGCCCCAGTTTTAATATCGTCTGCGAATTTGATCAGCAGACTGTTCACCCATTCTTCGATGTCATTGATGAAAAGTTTAAACAGAATCAGCCCCAGGACAGAGCCCTGAGGGACCCCGCTTGTCACTGGCCGCCATCCCGATGATTCCCCTTTAATGGTTACCTTCTGCTTTCAGTCAGTCAACCATGCCCTAATCCACCGGACAGTGCTTTGGTGTATCCCAAAACTCCTCAGTTTCTCCACCAGGATATCATGGGGCACTTTGTCAAAGGCCTTGCTGAAATCCAGGTATACCACATCCACTGCATCCCCTCCATCTAGCCATCTCAAAACCTTGTCATAGAATTCCACAAGGTTTGTCTGGCAGGACCTGTTTTTGCGGAAGCCGTGTTGTGTAGCTGTCAGCCTCCCTTCCCTATCTAGCATCACTAGATCTCTCTCTATTATGAGCCTTTCCATTGTTTTTCCTACAATGGATGTAAGGCTAACCAGTCTATAATTCCCCATGTCCTTTCTACTACCCTTTTTGAAAATTGGGACCACTGATGCCGCCCTCCAGTCCACTGGAACTTCACCTGTTCTCCATGAGGTCTCAAAAATGGAGGCCTGCGGGCATGAGAGAACCCCTGCCAACTCTCTAAGTACTCTTTCGTCTAATCCCTCTAACCACCTCCTTTCGCATCCATGGCAGCGCTCTCCTTCGCCTCCCCACCTTACTAACTAGAGGTATTGTCAAGGCTTGGGCCTCCAAAACCTCCCTTTTGAGTGCCATCCACCCCTCCTCAACTCACTTGCCTTCCAGTAACCTATCCCAGGAGACTTTGCCCAGTTTGGCCTTCAGTTGGTTCTCTTGAAGTCCCAGCTTCTAGTGCTTGACCTGCTGCACGTCTCCATTCCTCTGATCTCAAAGCAAAGGATGGAGAGTCCTTAGAGAGAAAATCCAGAGTCTCAAATCACCTCCCTGCACCACTGATGGCCAGTCATGTTTTACCAGCAAGATCATTGTTCTCCACAGTGCCTGTAATAACTACAGATTTATGTTGAGAAAGACTGCTTTCTGGCATGATTAACTAATCTTTTGGGGAATTTAAGGTGTGGCTTTCTTGGACACCCTACTTACTCTCATTGCTGTCTTAAATGCGTACTCTTTTGAGTCAAGACCTGATATTTCTTAACCTTTCATTCGTCTGTTCCTTTGAAATTTTTGGAAGTCTCCTTTCAGTTTCACTTTTTAAAATTTCCTCCTTCATTTTCTGTGGTGCTTACAATCAAAGTGTTTTACCAAGTGTTTTATAGACTTATTTTCACATAAGCCCTATGAGGTGGGATGCTTTAGCACTCATTTTACAGGGGGAGCTGATTTAAGAGAGAATGATTATATTTCAGTAGGTTTTGATGCACTGGCAGCTCCCTTCCTTCCTGCTTCTCACCCTAGAGTGAGGACAACACTGTTGGCTTTTATCTACTGTTCCTTAAGGACAAGGGTGCAAATGGGTCAGAAGTCTTACCCCATCTTTTTGATACATGGTTTGCAACATTTATGCATGCCTCTGACAATGGATAAATTTTGTGTTACAAACACAAGCATAGAACTGCAATGATGTTTTATAAATCAAAATAATGTTAACTGGTGGTGATCTGTAAACGTTCATGCATATGGACTGTTTTTTGCACATGTTGTTCTGTGTCTATGCTCCCTGTATCTATCCCTCTCTTTCACACCACTTGCAGGTCACTGCCATACGCAGCATATGCATACGTAATCTAACAGCTGACCTGTGCTGCAGCAGTGCTACTGAAAGCCTCTGTGCTATCAATCTCTGTATTTTGTGTGCCTGACAGCCTTTTAAAACTGTTGGGCACTCTCAGTGTTAACACCATAACATCTTAGTGGCTGAGTCAATGTCTAGGGAACACTCAGTTCAACCCACTAAAGCCAGAGTGTTCTCAGCCTATAACTACAAAAACTGCTTGCCTGTGTTTATTTCAGCCTCCCTCATTTTTTCAATTAATACATGATTTGGGGATAAATGGACAAATCACTGTTTTTCTGCTATGAATGTACTTTGTGCTTTAATTTGACATATCATTTTTCGCAATGCAGTAAGTTCCCCAAAAGATCATCCCAAATCGACTTTGATTTAGCAGGAGGTATACAGATAATGCTTCTAAGGGGTTATCATAAGGTAAATTTGACAGCTCATCATCTCTGTCAAATGTGGCTGTAACACTGTGAGATCTTGCTTGCCATGGAATCTCTTAAATGGTTATATTAGTACAAGTTGGTGTTGTCTTTGTTTCAAGGCCAGATTTTATGCACCTACAACCATTTTTATTGACGAAATAGACTCTATCTGTAGCCGCAGAGGTACCTCTGATGAACATGAGGCAAGCCGCCGAGTCAAGTCTGAGCTGCTTGTGCAGATGGATGGTAATTGGTTTTTCATATCTACATTGGAGTGTCTTTTTCTACTTTGTAAATTATTTATAGAATAGGATCAGAGAATGTGTGCAGGCAGTTGTAAAACATCATAGATGCTCACGTTTTGAACGGTCCAGGTTTGTGTCAGCACATATTTTAATGAGTTCTGAGCATGGGGAAGGGGTACAGATGTAGTCACCTGGCTTAAGCTAGGGGTAGCACTGGTCAGTGTCCCTCAAGGAGGGACATTTTTCTCTTCCAGTAAGTGTGCTACTTTTTGGTTATCCATATGTGTGAGTCACAGACTTTTTAAGAAAAATTCAGGTTGCTTAACTGCAACTGGTTCCTTGGTTGGTCACGTGTGAATTCACAACCCATGCTCTTCTCTGCGTAAATGCCTTGCCTTCTTTGTTCCTCTACTTTGTTAGACTCAGAAGAGAGAGGCAAGTGGGAGCCACACCTGGAACACGTGCAGAGTAGGGTGTAACTCCTGTCTATAATTTTGGTTCTTGAATGTTCCAACAACTGGACCTTTGTTGGCACAGGCATTTAGCCCACACGTACAAGTTTGAGATGACCTTTAGGAGAATCACAGTCCTTTATTTTAGCAACCTGTCCTTTATTTTATTTTAATTTGTATTGTTAGTATTACATATATGTGCTGCCTGAGCTTCATGGCCACATGGAGACTATAATTAGGATCATCTGAGTCCCAGTCCAGTCCCCTAAACACTACATCACATTACCTTCCTTTCTGCTCATAAGAGGCAGTAAGTAAGCCTTTTTAAATTGCATGTAAAGTATACAGTTAAAAATGGACAAAACTGATATACCCAGGCATGCACCTTTGTCCTCTTTCCATGTAGGAGTAGGTGGAGCTCTTGAAAATGATGACCCTTCACGAATGGTGATGGTGCTGGCTGCTACAAATTTTCCCTGGGACATCGATGAGGCTTTGCGGAGGAGGCTGGAGAAAAGGATTTATATCCCATTGCCAACAGGTGGGAGTGCTATAACCATTTTCCACTAAGTGTGCTTTCCTCACACTCATTAACTGAAGCATCCCTAGGGGACCATTAAAGAATCCATTGCTATGTCTGTTACGAACATTGCATTTTCAGGGGTTAATAACTTGCCTGTTTTTTCATTTTTTGTAAATGCTTGATATTGCAGAATGAAAAAGCTCCAGAATATCTTTGCAGTCCCAAAGAAGGAGATTGTGGTTTTTGAATCCAAGTTCACTTAATGAGCTTGGAATTTATTTTGAATGTTTAACAGGCAATCCTTGAATCAGCACCCAAAGGCAGGCTTTAGACATTTTGAAAGAAATATTGTCAGGCACTTGCCTGCTCTTGTCAATGAATGCGGAAAAGCAGATCCATGAATGTTCACTTCCAGGCGTTTCCATGTTGTAAATCAACTCCTGCCTGACCTTTACAGCTACATTTTCAGCCCTTGAAATGGTAGTTTGCTGATTGTTCCCCTGCATGAGGATGCATCTTCATAGATTGTCTTTCCTGGCTGTCAGTCAGATATGCTATGAATCTCAAGTGTCTTTATTGTTTTATAGGTTTGTATAGCTGTGCTGTCTCTTGACAGTGCAGTGCCTCCTTCCCTTTATCTTCCCTTAAGATAACAGAACAAAACTGCAGTGTGGCTGCATTGTGAGGGCAGGACCTTCATAACCATATAGCCTGGGCCTTGCAGCTTGCAAACTCAGAGACATTTCCTCACAGAGTGTGCTGCTGGTGATAATGCTATCTCAGTTTCAAGTTCTTCTTTCTTCCCCCATTATTTTTTGGATCATTTACCACATAATTACATTATGTGAGTTTCTCTACTTCCACAACATTGTTTGCCTTTTTCTTGTGGAGGAATCCCAAGATTTGTCATCAAGATACATGATCAGTGATCCTAAATATTAAGAGGCTGAGGCAGAGATTTCATTCTGAGTGGCAACTCCATATAATATGTAATACATAATTTCAGCTTATAATGGGGAACCTGAGTTGTATTTTTTTTCCTTTTTGTGGGACTTAAATGGCTTGAAAATATTGTGCTACTTATCTGAACTTTGACTTGCTGAAAAATGCAAAAGAGAACATGGAAGACAAGGATATGTAATATGATTGTCTATTCTGACTGATTTAGGTTTGTGTTTGTGCTACATATTGCTTGAATTAATAACTGGAGTGAAAAATATCTCTGATGTTTAGGGCACAATCCTACGGACTTGAGCCTCGATTGAGTGGAAGCCTTTGATTTCAGAGGCTTCTGAGTATCTGATGCCCTGTCAGGCTGGTGCTGGCAGGGTGGGAGCACAGGATTTTCTCCTTCCTGTCCTCTAGACCCCTTCCACCCTCTGGATGGGTGTCTGAGCCTGCTTAGCAGAAGCTTTCTGGTGGGAGTGGAGATGCCATGGGATTCTTGATAATCTGGCCTCTCCACTTCCTTCTCTTTTTGCATGCTGCCCTGTTTTCTCTCAGGGCTTCTCAAGTTCATTTGAGTCTGCTTTTGCAGCCTTGTAATACAGGTGCTGCATTTCTTTTCACAGCAACAGTGAGGGAGTGGATTAGATTCCAGAGTCCCCCATCCGAGGATGCTTTCCATGAATCATAGGATTGTTCTCTCCATCACCTTTGGCTGTTTCTGACTTTGCCTGTGCAATGCAAAATGTACATCTTGCCAACGTGTCTGTGCATCCCTCTTTCCCCACCGTCCCCCATAGGACCCTTGGAAGCACTGTTGGAAAAACCCATACACACTTGTACTTATGCTGCTTTGGGCAACATCGAAAGCGGGACATGCACACCGAATCTTCAGAGTATTCAGAGTGACTAGCCTGTGTTTCTGGAGACTAATATGTCATAAATGCTAACACACCACAGAACACAAACTATAACATATGCATGGAATGTTGCTAGACCAGTATGCTTTGATTTGCCAAAGGCACACTGTAATAACAGAAAAAGCCCATGCAATTTCTGTTGTTGCTGTTTATACAATACTGTCAGTTTATGCATGCAATCAAACATAGACAATGGGTTAAAATAGCAGAGGACAAATGTCATTACATGTAGATAAAGTCTAAGTGCAGCTGGGTATCAAGATTAAAAAGGGAAGTCAAAGACCGCAGGAAAAGTAGATTTTGAAGAATCAATGCCATTTGATCCAAATGGTGAAAGTGTTTATGGTTTGGGCAGAGGGTTGAGGTCAGGGATCAGTCATTCCCTCCCTCCCTTCCACATGTATGCATGATACAATTAGATCCAAACCAGAGATTTAATCTTTTTGTTAAAACATGTACACAATTTTCTTCAGCACTTAACATCAAAATTGCTTGCAGGCCTTTTTGCCCAGTATTTTTTTCTGGGCAATTTTTTTCCTGTAAAAAAAAAACAAAGTTAAATGTTGTACAGAATGCTTAAATGTTTTCAAGCCTGCTGTAATAAAATGACTGTTTTTGCAGCAAAAGGCAGAGCAGAGCTGCTTAAGATTAATCTTCGAGAAGTAGAACTGGATCCTGACATCAGCCTGGAAGAAATCGCTGAGAAGATAGAAGGCTACTCTGGTGCTGATATCACTAATGTTTGCAGGTATCCTATTTCTTATATTTGCAAGCCAAGGAAAAGTGATTTATTTGACAACCTGCGCTTAATGCTTATTCCAGAACATTGCTGAACTTTGAATCTTTTGCTTTATATCAATGTTTTTTAAACTCCTTTTTCAAGAAATCCTGTCCATATAAAATTAACTGCCACGGAACCAACCAGTTTGTAGTAGAATCCCTGAATGTTGCAAAAGAGATTGGGAACTGTGCTAGGGCATATGCTGTTTACACAGGATGCTGGTCACACCTCTTGAGTGCTAGCATTGCTCTGTGTGAATTGACAGTGAGACCTAAAGCATATTCAGCATTCTTGTTTGCTGGTAATTTCAGGGGAAGTTTGGTAGTGGCAAACATGCTGAATTCAAACAATTGGAAATGCAACCCCTCCCCCCGTTAGGTAATTACATTTGAAATTAAAACTTAATTTTAACCTTTCGGCTTAATTTCAAATTAATTTCAAATTCAACTTAAAGGTTAATTAAAATAACCTTTAATTGTTTGTGGATTATTGGATAAGTAATTGTTTTCAATTTACACAGGCTGTCTTTAGAACAACAGATGGAAAACTAGCATTTTGACAACCTACTTCTGAAAATTGCAAATAAGGTGGTGGCAAAATTAATAAACAGTTGTTTGACTGAGGCTGGAATTGTTTAGGTTGGTACTTCAAGTTTGTTTTGACACTATGAATTGCAGAAGTCTTCAAAATTGCCAAGATCAACAAATTGGCAGATAAAACACATTGGAGAAGTGCTTATTTCAATGGGAATAAATATGTAAAAAGAGCAGAACTAGCAAACAATATACAGGAAGGATTAAAATAGCTGTTTGGTGGAACAGAATAGTCTTGTCATGCCTTCTGAAATATAAACAAAGCCAGTCATGACTCCCTAGGGAGCCACCTTTGAGGCCTGTGTGCAATTCATGAAAGGGCCTCATCATTCCTTGGCTACTTCCTGTACCTCTGACAGAATAAGTACATGGAACCTGGTTTTTGATGATGACCTGAGCTGCTCATCCTGTTTGGCCAGGATATGTTTAAAGAGCAGGTCAGGAGGTTGCTAATCAAGCACAGCACCTTCCATTTTGGCAAATCTGTCTTGTGGAATTGCAGTCAGGCTGTGGCAACTGCTTCCTTTTGGAGAAAGGAAAGTTCATATCTGCAAGTGGCAATTGGTAGTGGCAGTATCTCAGTCCTAGAACCATTCTGGGAGAGGCAAACTGCAGTACTAACTTACAGAGAAATCTGACACTTCAGTTATTTTGTTGCAGTTAATGGGCTTAGCAAAGGTCCTTCCACCCTGCATCCCCCTTGACCAATTTTATTACATGTCTTCAGTAACTTAAAATAGCTGCAGGAGAAGATATGGAACCTTGGGGAAAGTGCAGAAGTCTGCTTCTTCACTCTGTAATCCAGGCATGTATATTGAATTAGACTTTCAAATCTGGTTGTGGTCTTTTTGCATAGCATAGAGGAGGGAGGGTCCAAAGACTGAAGAGACTGTCATAGTTCAGCAGCATTTTAGTTCATGAGTGGAAGGACTGGCTCATCTCCATTCAACATTGTAATGCAATTTTTAGAGGTTTAGAGGTTTAATTATCCACATTGACCAGGTGCTTTAGTTGATTTCAGAGGCAAAGTGCCCTTTTCTTACTACATTACTGGGGTTATTTATTTATTTATTTATTTATTTAAAACATTTCTATGCCGCCCCATTCGCCGAAGCCTCGAGGCGGCTCACAACATAAAATTAAATATAAAACATTAAAAATTAAATATAAAATATAAAACATTCAAATATACAACAAATTAACAATATAAAATAAGTTGCCCTGGCCAGATAAAATAAGCAAATAATATTAACAATTAAAATGATGTTTAAATAAAAAGGTCTTCGCCTGGCGCCGAAAAACAAATAACGATGGCGCCAGGCAGACCTCTCTGGGGAGCGCATTCCATAGATTGGGCGCCACCACAGAGAAAGCCCTCCTCCGAGTACCTACCCTCCTAATTTCTTTCACGAAGGGTTCCCGGAGAAGGGCCTCTCCCGCAGATCTCAAGGGGCGGGTGGGTGTATATGGATGTAAGCGCTCCTTCAGGTTACCAGGACCCAAACCGTTTAGGGCTTTATAGGTCATCACCAACACCTTGAATTGGGCACGGACTTCAATGGGAAGCCAGTGAAGCTGATGGAGGACTGGAGTCATGTGAACATAACGCCCAGTCCCCGTCAGCAGCCTGGCAGCTCTAATTTGAACCAACTGAAGTATCCGGACCGTCTTCAAGGGTAGCCCCACGTAGAGCGTGTTACAGAAGTCAAGGCAGGAAGTCACCAGCGCGTGTGTCACTGTCGCCAGGCAGTCGTACTCCAGGTAGGGGTGCAGCTGATGGATCAGCCGAAGCTGAAGGAAAGCGCTCCTCGCCACTGCTGTCACCTGAGCTTCCAATGAAAGCTCCGGGTCGAGGAGCACTCCCAGGCTGCGGAACTTGTCCCTAAGAGGGAGTGCAACCCCATTCAGGACTATGTTCAATTCACCCTCTCCGAAGCCTGATCGGCCAACCAACAGGACCTCCGTCTTGTCTGGCTTGAGCTTCAGTTTATTGGCCCTCATCTAGCCCATTACCTCGGCCAGGCACCGGTTCAGTACAGCCACTGCCTCACCTGGATTGGTGGAAAACGAGAGGTAGAGCTGGGTATCATCAGCGTACTGATGATTCCGCAGCCCACACCGCCTGATGACCTCTCCCAGCAGTTTCATGTAGATGTTAAACAGTAAAGGGGACAAAATGGACGCCTGTGGTACTCCACGGCATAGCTGCCATGGTGCAGAGCCATAGTCCCCCTGCACCACCTTCTGGAGTCGGCCATTGAGATAGGAGTGGATCCACTGCAAAGCAGTGCCTCCGACCCCCAATCCCGCTAGCCTATCCAGAAGGATACCATGGTCGATGGTATCGAAAGCCACTGAGAGGTCCAGAAGAACCAACAGGAACGCACTCCCCCTGTCCTTCTCCCTGCACAGGTCATCGTACAGGGTGACCAAGGCAGATTCAATACCGTACCCGGGTCTGAAGCCGGGCTGAAATGGGTCCAGATAATCAGTTTCATCCAAGAGAGCTTGGAGTTGTCCCGCCACCACCTGCTCTAACACCTTGCCCAGAAACATGATGTTGGCCACTGGTCTATAATTAGTGGCCATCTCTGGATCCAGTGACGCTTTCTTCAGGACCGGTCGTATTACCGCCTCCTTTAAAGGGGCAGGCACCCGACCCTCCCTCAGAGAAGCGTTAACCACTTCCAAGATCCAGATCCCAATCCCGTGCTTGGAATTATTTATTAACTAAGACGGGCAAGGGTCCATTATTAGAGATATGGAAGCTAACTTTGGTAAGTAGAACACTGAGATAGAAGAGAGGAACATGTTGTTTGTATAACTACCCAAAACTTGCAACATACAGAGCTAGTCAGAATCCATAGTTTCTAGCCCATGGTATTTGTAATTAGAGGTGCTAGAAAATTTCATTAGATCTGTCACCAGTCTAATTCATACTTCTTAGATTAATAAGTGGCTTGGAATTCAGTTGTCCATTGTAGATTGTGGATTCTCTGATTCTTGGCTCAAAAACACAAACAAAATACCTATGTTGGCAGGAAATGCATACATTAAGATGTATTTTAGGTGAAATAAATTCAAATTTTATGTGGTTTTAAAAAGAAACATGCTCAGAAAACAGGATGGAATGGGATTAAACACTTGAGAAAATGACGTAGACCTTAAATAGACTGATCCACTCACTCATTAATAAAAGGTTCTTGTGCATTTTCTTGTTTTTTAGGGATGCCTCTTTGATGGCAATGAGGCGGCGCATTAATGGCTTATCACCAGATGAGATCCGAGCACTATCTAAGGAAGAGCTGCAGATGCCTGTTACCAAGGGAGACTTTGACCTGGCCCTGAAAAAAATTTCCAAGTCTGTTTCAGCTGCAGATCTGGAGAAATATGAGAAATGGATGTCAGAATTTGGATCTGCTTAACCTCAGAGACATCTATTCAAGTGATTTTAGTATCAATTATACAATATTACAAGGACTTAGGAATATTTTAAGGCTTGAATTTTTCCTATGGACAAGACCCTTTTAATTTTATTTGCACTTTAATGGGGACAAAACACAATGATATGATATTTCATGGAAAAATACTAAGAACTAAACATAGCAAGGGAAACCCCATGCAGTTTTGGTTGTCTGCACTTTAACAGTGACAGCTAATCCTAGTGTTTCATGGCTTTTATTTGCCTGTCAGATACAGTTGTGCATAGATGTCCAGCCATATTGTATGTTTTGCTAGATCCCGACCTCCTTGAATGTAGGAGTGAAGTTGTCAGTTGTTGTTTCTGCCCCTCCCTAATTTAAAGAGCTCATCCATATGATCCAGGGTGAAAATACTGAGGATTGCGTTACACTGCAGTCATGTTGCCATGGCTACCATGGTATTTGCTGGAATGATGATGATCACAAAAAGTGTGGAAAAGAGACACTTGTTTCTTCAGATGCAATGTGTGCCTGTGGCCCATTGCAGATTTTGAGATCTTTTTGTTTCCAATTGTGTAGAAATGGGCATTTCCCTTTCGACACTTGATGTGTTTATTAGAGCCAGCACCAGTGCCAATGCAGCACACTTAGTCGCTGCATGAAATGTAGAGCAGACAGTAGCAAAGATCTTTGATGTTCGAAAACTCAGGTCCAGTTTTGCTCTTTTCTGTTTAACACTGGTGTAAAATCAACTGATTTATCTCTGTTCCTGCAATACTCCAGCTGCACTAAGGCCATGTAAACTCCAGAGGTTTCAGTGGTTTAACATGCTGGTGCAGTGCTAAATAGTGCACATCTTGCAACATTTCATCCAACTGCTTATGCTTAGATTAACCCCTTTCTAATTTGTGGTTTTATAATGCTAATTATACTTTGTTGCAGTGTAGGATATGAAAGTGGACACAGTGAATACAGTGGAGCCCAAACCTGAAGGCACAGATTGGTTGTCCTCAAAATCCAGGCATTCCCCACCCTCTTTTTAAATATTCTTGGTGCTTATTTCACATATTTGCAGTTTCCTCCAGTTTGTAAAATTAGGACTCATCTATTTTGAGTCTGATAGTCAGCATACATTACAAGTGTTGCAAACAGTGACTTGTTCTTTGGGCCTGTTCAGACTTAATGTATAGTTCACTTCCTGAAGTGATCCTGTTTGTGTACACATGTGGGAAATAGTTATCCAAGTTACTTTATTTATTTATTTGGGGAAGATTTGAATGATCAGAATTCTGGCCAGATTCTTCTTCTGGCTCTAGAAAAGTTACATAGTTGGTATTCTAAGGAAGGATTCCTCTTGAAAAAGAATCTCATCCCATGCATGTCAGAGATAAATCATACCTCAAGGGTTTTTTGTCAAGGAACTCCTTAAATGACCAGGAAGCATTTCCAAGTCACCCTTTCATTTGGGAGCTAGTCACCTAAAATAATTTGTGCCTCAGAAAGGCTATTCTTTATGGTGTTAGGGGATGCTTTTAAATGTTGTGCAGGCCAGCTTATTACTCTTCATGCTGGCAAGCTGCATGGAGGCAGTGCTGATCCATGTACAAAGCTTTCTCAGTCTTCCTAGACTAAGGACTACCATGGTCTGTGTGGATGGTACAGTCCCAAAAGTTTCATATCAAATTAACTGGTACCTCTTCCTAGAAGTATCCTCCCCCTCAAACTAAATCAGTTCTTGCAGCTTTCCCCAGCTTGGTGCATTCCTGATAGACTGGACTGCATGTTTGAACATTCCTAACTCAGATGGCCATCTTGGGTTCCGGGCTGGAGAAGCCTTGGTTCTAGGGAAAACTTTCTAGGAATAGAAATTTTTTATCTTAATTGCCAAGCAACTGACACATAGTGGGTTTGCACAATCACAGAGTAGGAAATAAGAGGCAGTGATTTATTTTTCCTCTACTCATGCCAGGAGATTAAGTTATTTAGTCTCAGCAGCGCAGTTTGTCATTTTGTGCAAATCTGGCCAAGGTTGGCTTGTTGTTATTGGAAAGAAGCCACTTCCAACCCATGGGCTGTTGCAGAATTTTGGGTGGCTTGTTTAACTACAGCAACAAGTAATTATGCTAATTCCCCTGACATATGACTGGCATGTGTGGAGGAAGAAATAATCCACCATGTCTCATTTCCCGCTCCCTGATCTTGCAGATCAGGCAAATAGCTCAGCCAGGCATTGGCTTTGCGAGAGTTTCATGTGTCTGTCTATTTGTTATGGTAACCAGCTTCCCAGCAGAGCATGTCCAGTGCTGCCAATGTGACCTGGTTCAATAGAGGAAGAGCGCTACTGGCATTTTCGCAACAGGGTCGTGTTGTACCATACATGGCCAACCACGTGGGTTATGTTTGTAGCGGTTTGTCTTTGGTTTTCTTTATTGGTGTGTTAACTGGTGTTTTTATGTAGAAAAAGGCATTTTGTGTCAAGACTGTGAATCGTACATTGTGTTCTTTTCCAACAAAAGGCAGCTTTACCTTGAATAAAAGAAAGCCACAATAAATATCCCCATCATGACTCACTTTTCATTTATCTGGTGGTTTTTGTCCTCTGTACAGGTCATGGGATTCTGTGGAGCCCCTGCAGTGGCTGGGCTGACTGTGATGTTCTGGAAACATGGCACCTCCACAGAGCTTTTCAGTTCTGCCAGCAGCATCTCAGCTGGTTCCTTTCACTGTCTCCCTTTGTTTGAGGCATCAGAGTTCAAAGAATGTAAAGACCCTCATGGGAAACTACCTTAGGACCCACTGCTGTTTTCACACACAGTTGTGTGAGTCGTGGCAGTATCCATTTTCATACTTGAGAAATTGGAGAAACATGCAAATAGAAACACAGTGTGTTTAACCTTATTGATCATTCTGCTGAGAATTTGTGCCCACAAATATTATCAGATATGCCGTGCATTTCCAACATATCAGTATCTGTGTGTGGGTGTAATGCGATATATTTTATATATTAGTAGACAATAGTCTTCTCATAACAGTACATCTTCACCTTGGACTTGGCAGTCTTTTATCCAGGGGAGGCTGTTGACTCTTAGGTCAGTGGGGCTCCTCATCCATTGCAGCTTTTTGATCCAACTTTATAGAAGTTCTCCATGTTGGTGAACCTATTTGGGGTGTAGAATTCACCATCATGGATAGTTCCTGTAAAGTTCAAAACGGCTGCAGTAGATGAGGAGCCCCACTGACATAGGCATCACCAGCCTCCCTTCTTTCTCTAGTTTCTCTGGTTAAAAAGTTGCATCCAAATCAACATTTTAGCTTGCAAATATAATAATACAGTGCAGTCTCCCTGAACCTGGCACTACCCACATGTGTTGAACTACATTTGCCGTCACCCCAGTCAGCACAGCGCAAAGATGTTTTGCAAGGAATGCTGTTCTGTGCCTCTTGCTCTTTGCCACATTTCCTCATTCTGAAGAATCAGCAGCCGCATTTGTCTTCTCTGCTCACAAAAACGGGGTGGGAGGATCTTCCCTGATTAAGGCTTTTTGACAGGTCTCTGTGTGCCTTTATCACAAGGCCATATGTATTCATGCCTACATATGTCTCTAGAAATAACATGGGAAAATATTAAATAATTTAAAAATATTTTAAATGTTCACAAATATTAGCGCACATAATGGCTCCCAAAGAATTAAACCAGCCATGGACAGTCCCTCCAAGTTGCTGCTTTGCCACTTTGAAGAGTCTGTCAGGAGCTGTCAAAACAAAGCACAAAAACGATGTTCAGCTAAGGATCACATTCTTTTTTTTTTTTTTTAAAGGGAGGGGGAGCATAAAGGGAACAAAAAAGCCACAAGAAGATGAAAAAGGCTCACAAAAATGGCAGGGAGGAGACAGATTAGTTCTGCTATATCCCTATCTTGGTATATCTGTGGGGTAACTCGGATGGAGGGAGAAAGTGAACTACCCATGGCTAGCCAGATCATCTGCCACATTGTGGATTCTTTACACAAGAACCAACCTAATATGGCTTATTGCAAGAAATGTTGGTTGTGTGGTGCAAACTCACCCACAGCATGCTTGCAGAAAGTAAGAAAACTGAGCTCGTAATCTTGTGAAATGGAGATCCCTTATCAGAACTCCCAAGTTTTTAATTCTGTTTATAAACCCAAAGTTGTTGCAAGGAGCTCCAATTTGATTGGGCCCGTGATAATTTTGGGAAAGGAGTTCTAAATCCCACTCCCTAAACTAATATTTGTCCTACAGCAGGGATGAAACAGTTTTACAGTGTTAATAGCAACTTTGGGAGTGATTTCAATTGAAAAAATTATTCTAGTTAGGAAAAAATGGGGAAGGGGTTAACTCCCCGCTGGTGCTACTGCTCCAAGCTAATTAGTTATTAGCACTCCCTTCCTCTCGACTGCTTAAAAATATAGAAAATGGGATGACCAATCTCCCACATCATGTCTTATTTCAAGCCACAAAGAAATATGCCTCATAAAAACAGATCTGTTTTCTGTGTAACAGAATAGACTGAAGTGTTGTCTTTGTGAACTCAGCTTGTCTGAAATTGCTGTCTTTTATTTTCTAATTGTGGATGAGACCACAGATCTATTGGCCCATGGGAGAGCTAGCATTTTGCCTAAACCTGGGTGTGCAGGTAATAGTCTATGCTCTGAATGTAGCTGAAGAGATTCCTCATTAGATCTTGGTGAAGAAGGGGTCACTGCAACAATGGAGATGAGAGGAAATGAGCTGTACTCCAAATGGGTTGAATGAAATGGAAACTATAGCAACTCCAGGAAAGGTTTGTAAATATAACGCATGCAAGCTAAGTGACACGAAGGCCATCCAAGCAATGCTGCAAAATCCAGGCTGAGAACAACAATGCAATAATGTACACATGGGTGCCAGTCAGCAGTATGTGGTCTTTGATTTAGAGAGTAAAGGGGAGAAGATGTATTCTTGCAGACCTTTATTTATTGTGATTTGTCTGCTTCAAATACAGGACACTAACAATATGGGTGGGTCCATGTGCCCCAGCAACCTGGGCTGATCTGCCACGATGCATTGGTTGTCTCATGAAGCACCCAGAATGAACTCTGCAGATGAACAGGCTCCTTCCCCTGCTACTTCCCCCTTGGCCCTCTAGGTGGTATCCATGGGAATACTGCAGGAGAAATGAGCAGTAGCAAAGTCAAGTCATTTTCAGCTTGGCATGGCTGTTTTTTACATTTTGGGGGTTTGGGGGAAATTGGGATACCTGGTTTGACAATCAGATACCCCAGTTCAGGCAGCTCCCTCTTCAAAGTGCCATGGTGGCACCTTGGAGGGTCTGCCTAGTATTTTTATTCTTTGTGTGTCCAGAAATGTGTGCACAAAAATTGAGTTTATAATTTTATTTATGTCCCATTAGCACAAAGATACTTCCTTGCAGAAGTGGAAGCATTTTAAATCTCTGAGGGGTCCCCTTTTTTGGTGGGGGGTTACTGCCACTCGGGAGCAGCAGGTACCTTTCCTGTGAAAGTCCCAACAGAGCTCTGAAAACCTTTCCCTTAACCCCTAGGACTTCTCTTAACAGGTAAGAGAAACTGATCAACTGAAGGATTCTTCAGTTGAGAAGTAGGAGTTTGGGGAAATTTCCTTCCTGTTACCGCAAGATCCTTCAGTTTCCAAGTTCTGCCCCATAAGGGCCCATGGATGGACAGTTTTGTTCTTTTCCCCATCTCTCTACCTCTATACAACTAGCAAGGATATTGTTACTGCTCTGCCACAGAGTCATCTGCATTTGTGTGACACAATCCAAAATTGTAAATAAAACCAATAGAAGTAATGATCACAGCTACAGTAACGATTGAGAATTGGAAGCTGCATTGACAAATACAATCAAAATGTCTTCAGCAGGGGCTGAAAAAATTGTAATGTTGGAACCATTTGAACTTCCTTGGGAAGGATATTTGAGAGACAGAGCATCATGAAAGAAAGGCCTTCTCCTTGGTACACATAAAATGTACTTCTCTTACTGATGGTACTCAGAGAGGACTTCATTTAATGCTCTTAAAGAATGGGCAGGTGCAGTAGCTTCTGCTTCCAAGGAAGATCCATTTTTCATCCTGGACAACAGCTTGCCTCTTTGGCAGTGGGGATTCTGAGGCAGAAGTCACCAACTGATCTTTGGCTGCACCCATGCAGTTCTTGGCCATATGTCATATTGCTCTTTAGGCCATGATCCAAAGGGTTTCTCTGAACATTCAGTCGCTTATTAATGTTGCTCTGATGGTGAATACTTGAACATTTACTTTTAGAGCTTAGCAGAACTGAGCTGAAGGACCTGGTGCCTCTCTGAACCATATTTTGTTGTTAAACGCTTATTTCCCAATAAATAAGACTTTCTCCTCTGCTACTGCTTACATATTTTGAGCATACAAAGCTGCATCAACACAGAAATGTCTCCATTACTGCTTCTTAAGTAGGAGATAGCTTCCAAGAAAACATGTAGGCTCTACACTACAAAAGTAAAACTTAATAAATGAGTCAGGACAGTATTCAGTGTTGGCACTGCTTTCCTCTTGTTTCTGATGTTGTTCATGGGACTGTCATGAATATAACTAGTGCTTTCAAATGAAACCCTGGAAATAAATGAAAGCACCCATATTTTAAATGGGGCGGGTCAGTGTATTTCCCTTCTGCAAGTTCCACTGACTTGGCCATTCTGGAAAGGAGCATTTTGGCACATTTTCAACTGCTGCAGGATCTGCTCTCTTTCTACCATGTTAGCAATGCATCTTGCTAGCACATAGGCAATGTGGGATACTGTCCTTAGTCTTAAAGGTCCCTTGGTAAACTTACTTATTTACTTACTTATTTATTGCATTTATATATCACCCCAACAGCCCAGAGGGCTCTCTGCGTAGTTTACAGACATTAAAACCCCAAATACAGTATCCAAACCTCCTGATGACCTCTCCCAGTGATTTCATGTAGATGTTAAATAGCAAGGGGGACAAAATGGAGCCCTGCTCCAATAGATCCCTGGAAAGTTGCCATGGTGCAGAGCCAAAGTCCCCCAGCACCACCTTCTGGAATCGGCCGGCAAGGTAGCAGCGGAACCACTGCCAAGCAGTGCCTTCTGCTCCCAGCCCCCTTAGCCTATCCAGAAGGATACCATGGTCGATGGTATCGAAAGCTACTGAGAGGTCCAGGAGAATCAACAGGAATGCACCCCCCATCCCTCTCCCTGCACAGGTCATACAGGGTGACCAAGGCAGACTCAGTACCGTAACCGGGTCTGAAACCAGACTGAAATGGGTCTGGATAATCAGTTTCCTCCAAGAGTGCCTGGAGTTGTCTTGCCATCACCTGCTCCAACACCTTGCCCAGAAATGGGATGTTGACCATGGTCTATAATTGGCGGCCATCTCTGGATCCGCTCTGGTGTTTCAGATCAGCCTATGTTCCTAAGTAACAATGAAAGCCTACAGTCCTGTCCCTTTAAATTCACATTTTGAGTCATTTGTTAAATCCATGTTGCCACATGCAGCCCTCTAGAGGGGTCTTTGAA